GTTTATGAAGGCTGTGTAAACTACTTCTATCATTACTGATCTCTCTCTAGTCTACCTCTTTGGCCAGATCACTCAGACTCAGAGTCGCTATAGTCACCCTCGCTACCATCCTCCTCATCATCATCCTCGTCATCTTCGTCGTCTTCGTCATCGTCGCCCTTGAATCCGTAGTCGTCGTGGAAGTCGGCCAGGGGCTTCACCTGGGTCTTGTATCCCATTTCCTTGAAGGCCTTGTCGATGTTCTGCGAGAAACGTGTTAGCATTATTGTCATCTCGACTTCAATCCGGGAAAGAACATACCTCTTCAAGAATCGGCGCGCAGGTGATGACGACGTTGCTGGTCTTGGGCTCGAAAAGCGGCATGATGAGCTCATTGAGCACGGCCTTGATCTGGTCGTTTGTGACGTCGCGGACGTCCCGCATGATCTTCTTGTGCCAGTCGAGCGGCAGGTTGCGCACGACGCCGAGCATGAAGTTCTGCGCGGCCGCCGAGGCCATGGTGGACTGCTCGTCGGCGAACTGCACGACGACCTGGCTGATGGCGCCCTCCTTGAGGTGGCGGTCGACGGGCGTCTCGCCGTCGGCGATCTTGCGGATCGTCTCGCGCGAGGCGGCGAAGGCCTTGCTCGCGTCCGGGGAGCGGTAGACCTTGTACTGGATCGTGCCGGCGTCGAGCTCGCGGCCAAAGTACGAGCCGTACGCCAGGCCCTGGCCGCGGACGGAGTTCCAGAGGGGGCCCTCGGCGGACTCGAGGTAGCCGATGGCGACCATGATGGCGGGGAGGCGCGGGTCCTCGAAGGAGGTGATGCCCTTGGCCGTGCTGACGCCGAAGGAGCTGTCGGCGGTGGTCATGGGAACGATGACGGCGCCGACCTTGCCTGGCTCCTGGCCGTCGGAGGTGAGGAGGGTGTGCGGCTTGATGATGGGGATGAGGTCGTTGGAGCCCTTGAGGTTGTTGCTGAGGATGTCCCACGCGGCGATGGGTTCGGGCAGACGCGATACGTCGGCGGTGACGAGAACGCGGACGTTGTTGAAGGTGAAGAGGGACTTGCGGAGCTGCTCGAACCAGGAGAGGACCTTCTCCGGGTCCGAGGCGATGAGCTTCTTGAGGCGGCGGAGATAGACGGCGCGGACGAGCGCGCGCTTGGCAACCGAGTAGGATTCCTTCTTCTGGTGGATGGACATGTCTACCTCGGAGGCCATGGACCTACCGTCGCGCTTCATCTCGGGGATGTCAGCAAGGTGCTTCTGGACGCCAGCCTTAAGGCGCTGAATATCGAAGACGCTGTCGAACATCATGGTACGGACCCAGTTGATGACAGTGGAATACTTCTCGCGCTCGATTTGGAACTGGATCATGACACCGTCTGGGTCACCGTAGTCTCTGGTGGAGCGGAGGCCATAGCTGATGGTATCCTGTTCCAGCTCCATGACCACCTGCTCGAAACCGACCTTCTCTCCGTCGCGCATGATGGGCGTGTTGAAGAAGTTGTCGTTGAAGATGGGCAGCAGGGGCTTCAGCTCAAGAGGCACCTGGGATGTGCCCAAATAAATCGTCAAGTGAACAAAGTTGGTCGGGACGCTCTCGAACTGGATGAAGAGGGGATCTTGACCTTGCTTGGAGCCATCGATGACCTTCTGCGCGGCATTGTTGGGCAGTCCTAGGCTCTTCGCCTTTCCGGCTCTCGCCGTGTCGGACTCGATGAAATGGATGGATTCGGTGCCGGGAACAGGCCATTGGTCGACGACAGCAGCAGGAATAGGCTCATCATTTTTGGCCTTGGCAGCCTCGAGACGCTCCTTGAGCTTGGCCAAGCCCTCAGGGCCGAGCTTCTCCTTTCTCTCAGCAAGCCTCGCCTCCTCCTCAGCCTTCTGCTTTTTCGCAAGCTCGTGGGACGGCTTGCCAAGGATGGAAACGTGAGGGCCATCGGAGATCCACTTGCGGAGGAAATCTCTCCACTGCTCGTCCGTCCACTTCTCAAGAACATCGTACTCTGACAAAGACTCCAGCTCCTTGAGGGTTGAGCCGTCACGCTTGCCGAAAAGGTAGTCCGTGATGATGTTGGTGGAGTAGAAGCTCTCTGATTCTTCAGCCTGGAACTTGACCTGAAGGCGCTCGCGGTGAATGCATGAGGTCAAGTACTCCATATCAAGAGGCTTGTCAGCAACCTCCTTGAGAAGGTCGATCAGTCTCTTCTCGACAAACTCGAGCTTCTCGGTCTCGACACCAGTCGGCTGGAACCAGATGACAGAGTTCGGTCTCGCATCCCACCAGTATGTAACTGAGCTAGCGAGTTCTTCTTTTTCGACGATAACATTCTCGAGGATAGAGACAGACGAGCCACAGAGATAGGTCAGCAGGACATTAAGTGCCGACGTCGCTATAACGTCGTTGCAGTTGGGACCAAAGAAGGCCACAGTAATTTCACCAACCGACTCGTCTTCTTCGGGGAATTCGGCCGTCGTAATAATGGACTTCTCCAGAGCTGGAGGCTGTGCAGAGTCGATCCACGGTCTGAAAACACACGTCAGCATGGCAGGGTTCTAGCCGCCTGATTGTCATCTTACCTCTTGAACGGCGCGTCCAGGGGCGGCAAATCGTCCTTGATGCTCTCCTCGAACTCATCCAGAATTTGCAACAGATTGTCGTGGTCTGCCTCGCCAATGATAACGACGCAGAGGTTCTTGGGCTGGTACATCTCGCGATGGAACGAGCGAATGCGGTCGTTCGTCAGGACACGCAGCGCATCCGTCATCCCACCGGTCTCGTAACGAAAGCCAACGTTCTCAGGGTACAGGAGTCGGCGGGCCTTGAGATCCATGATCTCTGCGCTCTTAAACTGGACCGCCTGCATCTCCGAGTACACGACACCGGCATCGTTGCCCTCTCCGTCGATGTGATGCACCTCAGTCACACATGCCTCGTCAGTGAGAATGGGCAGGACGACGTGCTCGAGGTAGACGGGAAGAATCTGAGAGAAACCTTCCCAGCCAGCGCTCTCGAGAGTGTAGGCTGTGTGATCTGTTGCGGTCCAGGCGTTGGTCCCAGAGTAGGCTCGCGACGCCAACTTGTCGAGAAGGCCCTTATAGCGGTAGTTTTTGGAGCCCATGAAGATCAGATGCTCGAGGGTGTGGGGAGCGCCAGAGTCATCGAGGATTTCGGTTGCGAGAGTGAAGTAGCCGTTGGTCTTGGGACCCTTGCGATCGGCCACAATGACCTGCATTCCACTTCGTTCCGATACATACTGGCTGATCGTACAAGGAGCATAGTCGGTCTTGAAGCTCTGGATCTTGCGAAACCGCGGCTGCGGCTTTGCTGCGGGCGACATGATATTTGAGTTTGTTGCTAGCTGAGAGTAATAACTTCTGTCCGGATGTAAGTAAGTATGCCTAGCAATCTCTTGAGGTAGGCGGGATTTCTAGAGAAGACAAAAGTCCATATTATAAGGGCGGGGAAGTGGGTGAAAGAGGAAGGTAATCAATGAGCCGGGGGTGTCATCGGTAAGGTAAGGTAGTCATGGGCAAGCGCTTTCAATACGCGAGGAGTCAAAACAGACAACAAGCAAAATATTTTGATGACTGTCAAACAAATGAGGAGACAGCTAGGAAGGGTTTTCCAATCGCACAGGGATACGACCGGCCGCCAAATGGGCCGAGATGATGAACAGACGGATGCAGAGCTTTGTAACACAGTGTTGGACGTGGGTTGAATGTAGGTTTCAGGGGTACGAAATCTGTGTGCGAGACTGAGGTCAACTCGCAAAACAACATACGTTGTCCAAAAGCTTGGCAAGCTGTAATCTGGTTCGTGGCATGCGTTGTAGAAATAAGCAACTATTACAGCAACGGCAACAGCAATAGCCGCTTGGCCAGCTTTGAAGCTCGACATTCTGGCAACAATAATAAACAACGCAAGGTGCTTTAGGGATTTCGATTTAGATCAAAGGAGCATGCTGACTGAAGAGCAAGACTCTGTGCAGCCTTCTTCCAGATGCCATCGCGACATAACCAAGACCGGGAAGGTGGGGGATGAGTGACACAGAAGAGGGGCCAATCGGGCTCTCCATGGTAAAATTGATGCCTAGAAGACAGAGGAGGTAAGACGAGTAGAAAATGCAGCTGCTTACCTTACAGATAACCGCTTTGCCAGCCTGATGGACAGTGAAAGGATATACCAATGGGGGTTTTCCAAAGACACTGGCCGGCCCGTGATAGCACGAAGTAGCGGTTACCTCAACCGCCCGCCACAAAAGTTGCGAAGTGAGGTAGAAGTAAACGACAAGTCGTGGATGTGCCGGATGTCGATGGCTTGAGTCCTGCAATCGCGACTCACGAATTTGCTTGACTTCTGATGAGTTCTCCGTTTCCAAATTTCCACAACTTCCAGGTTCAATGTGTCGTCGCGGGGCACGGGAACAATAGAGACGTCGGGTTGCCGAAGAGGTCGATACAATGAGAGCACTGACCTAGTTGCCCCTCCATCGGCCAGGGCAGGGGAACGGTGGAGTTTATCTTCCCCAGCTGCCTTCTTTGTTTTTTTTTTTTTTTCTTTTTTTTTTTTTTCCTACCGTAGCACGTTTGGCGGAAGGCCAGGCTCCGATTGGACTCTTGCCCCCCTTCTCTATCTTATCATATCTTATCGGCAGCATCCGACTCGGCTGAACTTCGGAGAGAGTCACTCAATACGTACCGTTCCGACACGGATTGTGACGTGGGTTGTTCAAGGTGGTATTCGGGACAGCTATGCCATCGGTGCCAAAACTGCCCATGGTTCATTGCGACGATGCAATGCCCTTTTGCTCTTGAACAGATATAAACGCTCTCTAGGCGTAGAAATTTCGAGAGTCTCAAGAATTACCGACGCATTACCTTCTTGCACGCACCCGATCACCATTTACTACTCGACCTCGAGCGCCATCACACCGACCTGACCCAGCCCCGCGACGATCGAGCTCCACGAAGCTATTGCCACAGTTCGCGCCCAACCCCGGATCGCAGAAATGGCGAGCGCGACCGAGGCGCAGGTATCTGCGCAGCTTGGGGACGCCATTGTTTCTTTTGCTCTCGAGGGAAGCTTCCCAGACGAGCAGGTGTCGTCCCTTTCGCTTTCGTCTTCCGATCTGTCACCGGCGATCGATGCGCTGGAAAAGGCCAAGGGGGAATTGGAGGTATCTTAAGGCCCTGCAGCGGACTTGAGCGACGGCCCGCTGATGTTTGTTTAGACCGAGATCCATACGATAAACGAGGAAACAAAAGGGGACGTCAGCTCGTGGGTGAGCAACGCAAAGTCGCTACAAGAAGACATCCTGCGATCTAAGAGGCTGGCCGATGATATTGTGCGACAATCAGAAGCTCCACAAGTCTCAGGAAAGGCCATCCAAGATGCCGAAGAACACACACATTTTCTGGAAAGAGAGGTGATGTATACGGAACAGCTGCACGATGCGCTTAGGGGTATCCAGCATGTCAATGAGCTTTTGGGGGAGGTTGAGCAGGCCATGAACGAGCGGCGCATCATCGACTCGCTGCGATGGTTGGAAAGTACGGGCAACCTGAATTGATGCAGTTATGGACAATGCTAATTGGTAACAGAGTCGTGGACCGAGTTGGATGCCGTCCCTGTCAACAAGAAGACTTGCAGAGTCATGAGGCTGCTTGATCTGCGCGCGTTCGAGCTCAAATCCAATGTTCATGATGTCTTTGACCACGTTTGGGCATCTCTTGTCCACACGGATTTACAAGCAGGGTCCCTCTCCATCTACGGAAAACTAGAAGGTAAGCCTGCCGCGAACACGTACAATAAGTCTGCTTCTAACAGCACCAGGGGAGCAAATGACCCTCTCAGAAGCCATCATCGGGCTTCAGGCCTACAAGGAGGTCGAAGACAGAATGTCTAAGCTATGGCACGAAGTTGACCAGGCTATTGTGTCGCCAAGGATGGATATAGAAGCTCCTTCTCTTCCTTCAATTCGTGCAAGCGAGGTATGCATTCATTGGATATCGGTTTCTGGCCCCTCTAATAGCTTTGCAGAACGTAGTGGAGTTGAATGGCGAGGCCGGCCGGTCAATAGACGAGCTATTTACAGACCTCCGCAAGCTGGTCGAGTTCCTGGCAGCTAGATTGACCCCTGACCTCCTAATGTTCTTCAGTCCGATCATGATGAGCGACCTGGTCCCGAGACTGGTCAAGGTCTGGCTGGACGGCGCGGTTCCTGCGACATTGAAGGACATCGACCGGTTCCAAGCCGTGATTCAATCTGCGCGAGGTTTCTGCGAGGTTCTCGAAGAAAATGGTTTCACAGGCTTCACAGAGCTTAAGGAGTGGGTTGGAAGCGCACCATCAATTTGGCTCGCCAAGTGTAGAGAAACCGCACTTGACTCTGTCCGCAATCAGCTCTCGAATGGTTCGTAACCCCATTGCCAAACTCACGCCACTTGCTAATAAGTCTTAGGTTTGGGCGCCCCCAAGGAAGTCGAGAAGGTGGAAAAGCAGATGGTGTCTCGCTCAGAGGGCAAGGAATTGACAGCTAATAACGCAGCGGCCGGGGCTGCAACAGACGATGACTGGGGTGCTGCATGGGGCGTCGATGATGGAGACGAGCCTGCCGAAGAAAAGTACAGCACCCAGCAAAGCCAAGAAGAGGACGACGGAGCAGACGCCTGGGGTTGGGACGATGATGACCAAGGTGCAGATAAGAAGGAGGAGCCAGCCCAGCCAAGTGCGGAACCAGCAGCGGCGGACGAAGACGACGCAGCCGATGCCTGGGGCTGGGAGATGAAGACGCGACAGAACCGGCGCAAGAGCCTGAGTCTAAACCACAGCCCAGGAAATCGCCCGCAAAGAAGGAAAAGATGGCAACTCCAGCAGGAGACGAGAGCAGGGAAATGGTGCTGAAGGAGATCTATCACATATCGTCCATGCCAGAGCCAGTACTGGAGCTCATCCTCGCCATATTAGAGGACGGTGCGGCTCTTACTCGGCCAGAGTGAGTACTGCATTTTACCTATCGAGACATCAAACTAATGGCCCTAGATTCGAGAACAGTCCTGTGGCAGCCGCGGCACCGGGCCTGTTCAGCTTACCAATATTTGCACTGGCCATGTTCAGAGCCGTTTCACCGCACTACTACGCACTTGATATCGGCGGAAACATGTAAGTGTCGGCCTCGTTAACAATCCTTTCGAGTCTAATTAAGAGACAGGTTCCTTTACAATGATGCCATGTACTTGTCCGAAAAGCTAAGCGAGCTGGCGTCAGCGTGGAAGTCGCGTGCAGACCTGACGACACGTGCCCAAAACATGTTGCGCATAGACAACGACATCAAGAGCCTGCAAAACTTTGCGACGCGCGCATACACTAATGAACTCGGGGTGCAGAAAACGGTCCTTCGAGATCTGCTAGGAGGTAAGCAACATTAGGCTGGGCTGATGATTACCCGTTCGCGCAGTAGTATCAAACGCGGGGCTAACGCGGACGCACAGGCGATCAAAGTCTGATGCAACAGGATGAACTAGACAGCTGCGTGGACTCGGCAGTAGCGCGGGTCAGATCCCTGGCAGTGACATGGGAATCGATTCTCTCGCGCTCCGTGTGGTACCAGGCGGTGGGGTCCCTCGCAGATGCCATCTCATCAAAGATTATCAGCGACGTGATGGAGTCGTCTTCCATCGGCCAGGACGACGCCTACAGGATCGCGCAGCTCATTGCCAAGATCACGGAGCTGGACGACCTCTTCCTCCCGTCGCGGACGGCAGCCTCGTCGGGGTCCGGCAAGGACGAGATCCCGACGACGGCGCAGTACGCCGCCACGTGGCTCCGGCTCAAGTACCTCAGCGAAGTCCTCCAGTCGAACCTCAACGAGGTTAAGTATCTCTGGTGCGACAGCGAGCTCAGCCTGTACTTTTCCGCGGACGAGGTGGTCGACCTCATCGAGGCTAGCTTTGACGCTAACCCGCGGATGAGGGAGACCATCCGGGCGATTCGGGAGAACCCAAGCCCCGTGCTCGCCTAGGGGACCGGACGGGTTTGCCGGAGGGCCCGGGCGGTCAGGCGCAAGTCCCGGCGAGTCCCAGTGGTGTTGACATGGACGTTTACAGATTAGGGACGGACGTAGCCTGTGCATGTAACTGAGATGAGGAACGGGGCGACATTGGAATTGAAGGCAACACACGCGCGCACAAAACGTAGTCTAGGGTTTCTCGTGTATTATTCCATCGTTCTGGCGCGTATCAATCCGTTCCCCTCCAATATCGAAACCTCGAGTATACCACCCCTTTTTCTGGAACCCGTAAAACCCGTCTTTAATCCAACCCAAAACGGTGCATCTCCATGTCTTTTAGCACCACACCGCGTGCTTCGACCGCGCACACCCACACCGCCCTGACTCGCAGCTCGCGTCTTGTTTCTTCCCCGCACGCACGCCCCCCTTCTCCACACTCTCCAGCGCAACGACTAAACCCTGTCGGCCTCGGCACCTTTCACCCCAAATCTCCACTCTGAGGAATTGGAGAACATTCTGTGTGCTGCTGCTTCCCCTCATTGCTGTCGTTACTTTTGATTTTATGTTGTCCATGTATCGCGAACCAGCAGTGTATCATCTAATTTAATCTCATCACTTGCGAAGTTTCTCTTCTCAGTGATGTTGAGTCACCCCCTGGCAAAGAAACCCGGGCATATGGGCCGGATGCGACTCTGTCAAATGTCACTTCATTAAAAATACGCGTGTCCCTTTCTTCAGAATTTTCTCATGGATCGCGATCTAGACCGTCGCCTCCCTTTTCCTCAGTCTAACGGTTGAGAGCAAAAAAGCCCGATGAAATACTACCAAGGCAGAAAAACAACGAGGACCTTGGAAAACTTAATTCCCCCGGTCGACTCCTTACGGTCCCCATTCCAGCTTGGTTTACACCCCCTTTTCCTCCCCTTCGTCTTCAGGTTTCTTGATTAATCTCCAAGCTTCCGAAATAGAGAGAGACTTGCCGTCCCCACGACACCTTTCCGCGGCACGCCGTACACCACCCGCAATTCCTCCCGGAGCAGTTCTCCCCTTAGCTCCAAACTCTATAATCAAAATTTTACACGTCAACCTTGTTTATTCTCATTTCTGGCTGCTCACTTGGGCCCTTCTGCGAGCCGCCAGGGGCGAAGGAGCCAAGCGAAAAGAACGACGCCACCTTTCGGAACAACGCAAAACGAATGTTCCATGCATGGGCGGTCAAGAAGGAAGCGCGATGATCTGCCTGCCCGTCAACATCCCTACCCTGTCCAATTCCGCCCTCCGGGTCGCCCGTCGCTTTTGCGCATTCCACCGTCTACATGCTTGTACAAACTCCCCTCCTCGCATTCTCATCCCAGACTGCATTTGTCAAAACAGGCCATGGTAGTTTGCCTCGTCAGCCTGGCCCGTTACCAAATTCCCTCAAAACTGGTCATGTGCTACACCACTGACAGGAAAGAAGTATCCCGCAGTTCAGATACTTCTGCGACGTTGACGTGACATTGCATCCGGCACATCCTTCTCTGCACAAGCCAAAATGCCAAGCAACCGTTCAGCAGAGACATGCCCGCGCCCAGCTCTCGTTCTGGCCCTCCCGCAATTGATCAACTCGCATCCGGGCTCTGCATTCGCTCACTGCGCTCCTTTCTCCCGGAGCTGCCTCCGGATGCCACGGCAAAAACGGGATTGGCGACTGGTCCCCAGTACCTCGTTACGTCAAATCCGGCCGCCAATTGACCAATGCCCTTCTCCCACAGTCACCATCATGAACGCAACGTTCAATCCGTGTACCTCTGCCGCAAGTCCCGTGCTTTTTCTTCCCCTCTTCAATCGCGAACTTCCAATCGCCCCCAATCACCTGACAACGGCCCGACTGAATATCTCGACCCATGCTTCCTCTAGAACCCTTGTCCGCCTAGAGATGACGCTCTATCAAACTGGAGGGAAGCTCATTGAAATGTGAGACAATCGTCGTCTTCAACCCCCGGTCCCAACGCGGAGATTAAAAGAAGCGACCCCCAGCTCAGTGAAAACTACCAGTCCTCTCCCCGAGGAAGAATTTCCACTTCATTCCACTCGAAATCCTTTAAGCCAGACCGAAGCACAGCCCAGGCGAGGCGTACTTACAACGCCCAAATGGGATGGGCATGCTTGCTCGTCACCCAACTCCAAGACTTTTGCGTTGTTTCCTATACCTTGTCATGTACGAAACCTCCCAAGACAAGATAGCTTGCTCGGCGATATTGAATTGAGAAAGCTCGAAATGTGAAGCACGGCCCAGCCCCAGCCCAGCCCGCCATGGCACCACTTCGCTCTTGACCAGAAGAGGGGGGATGTCTTGCACCACACCTACCCCCTCCCCCTGCTCTCTAAACACCCACTAAGCCACATATTGAGGCTGGTAAAATGATCTGAGGGTGCACATCTGGAGTAATTGCTGCTCGCAGCAATAAATGGATCCATACCCTTTGCCGAGTGTGGCTTCGTGGGTGTTGATATACACAGAGGGTGGGCGTGGTTCAAGACGACGCGGGCCCCCTTAGCAAAAAACCGCCCCCAAAACCTTAAATGTGGGAAAGACGATGATACAGCATGGAAGAAGTGCCCCCCTCCCCCCTCCCCCGTTCCCCGACCCCACGCATCAAATCACCTCTCCAAAAAAAAAAAAGTTGTCTGATCTCGATCGATCCGTGCTTGGCAGACGGCCTGGAAGGCCTGGAAAGGGGGAGCGGAAAGGGGGAGCAAAAGGGAGAGCGGAGAGCGTACACGTATTCGCAAACGGAACAAAGCACCCAAACTTCAACACATTCGCGAAAAGATACAACACACAGAGAAACTCGACGTCTGCCTAGCTGCTTGGCCCCTCGTAATGTCAAGACCAAACCTTGACAAACTCCCAAAGTCAACTTCCCCCCTCTCCCTCTCATGAAAATGCAATGTTTGAGACGCCATAACACGCTGTTCCTTACCCTCCATGGCCAATTTCTATTCTCCATCCTGCCTAAACTTCCCATAACCAAGCACACTAAAACACACCGCCAACCTCAAAAAAGAGAAGCAAAAGTACCTACCTGCCTTAAAACAAGCTGTCCTGACGAACGACAGACAACCCGTAGCCATAATTAAACAGACTTTGCCCACCCCGAAAATGACGGGATGGGAAAGAAAAGCCCGCTACCGAGGAGAAGAGACAGACTTGTTCCCCTCATCTAATTACAGCATTCCCACGCCACAGCGGCCGTAAGCGAGGATGGATCCCCCATTTCCCACCGAGGCCCCATCCCCCCCAAAAGCCAAATATCTCACAACGGCATCACAATCTCCCCATGAACAGCAGATAAATGCATCATCATTGTCATAATGAAATAAACAAAGGACAAACCTGCCCCGCCCCCGTCCGGCAAATGTTTGTTTGCCCACGGGATGCAGCACAGCTTGCCTTCCTCATTGATTGTCTCATAAGCTTCGTCAAGATCGCAACAAAATATGCTCATAAAGTCAAAACGCCGGTTCCTCGTAGACCTGGCCACCCCGGCCGGGCCACGCCAAAACATGAATGAGGTCTCTCTTTTCTCCCTCACATGGTTCTCTGGGTTCGTCCGTCCACCCATTACCCCAAGAACAAGAGAGAATTCCCCGCCCGGCCCATGCCATTCCACACACAGGTGATCATGCTTCACGTCAATGCTAAATCCTGCCATGCTCCCCCCGGCTTGCGGACATCAAGGCCCTCCCGCAATGCTCATTCTCCAACACATGCAATTGCCGCCGATTGCCCATGCTACTACCGGTCCATGTCCAACGCTATCAAGAAATCAGATGCCTGTGTGGAGATGAGCGAATGACACATCTGTTCCCCCCCAATTGTTTGTACTGTGATACCATTCATCTTGGGAAACAAAAAGAAAACTTTTTTTTGCCTATGGTCTTTTCTCGACTCTTGCTTTCATCTCATGTCGGATTGATCCCAGTTCTATGCTCCTTCCCCGTCCTCGACATGTGGTATATGCTGCTGTCCGTTCCCATTCAAAGTCAACTACCCGGCTCCTAGGCTTTCGGGGTGACACACATGCCCATATTCGCCGCCCCAGTGCAATGATTATCCCATACAAAGGAAATTGAAATGCCCGTTGGTATCCCTAAAAAACCTCGCATCCTTCAAGGAAAGCGGGTGAGCGAAAGAAAAATAGTCGTAGACTACACCAGGAAGTTCTCATCCATGCCAGTTGTACGCCGCAGTCGAATGCCAAAAGGGGTATTGATCGCACATTAGATCCAAAAAAACTGGCGCGCGCTGTGGGAATTCTGTCTTTTTTGGTTTCGGCCGTGTCATTTCGTCCCGGGGCTGCGAGCCCGGGGATGTTGTCGTTAAATCTCTGTCGATACTGATACAAAACTTGGTTGAAAAGGAAACGAATTTATGCCAAGAAGTGAAAGTCGGAGGGTTGTAGCATGGTACAGAGCGGAACGCATTTGGCCCAATCAGAGTGGGCGCTTAGCCCAAGGAGCCGTCGTAGCTCGATTTGTCCATGCTGGACTTGGGGCTGATGTTGTTGGAGCGAGTCCCAAAGATATTGGAGACGCGTCCGATGCCTCGCGGCTTGCTGTTAGTGCTAGTGTTGTCCGCGTTGTCTTCGGGGTTCTCAAAGAGAACCGTCTGGACAGAGTCGACGCTGACACGGGTGAATAGTGTGGAGAAGAGGTACTGCTCGCCATTATGATCAAACAGCGGCAAGGTGCGGTAGCCACGCTTAAGGCCACTGAGCTTGGCGGTGTGCGTCGCAATTGGAGGCCGGTCATTGTAGCTCTCGCCGTTGTGGGAGAGCTTGACCGACAGACGTACGAAGATGAGCTCGGGGAACTTGGTCGTGACCTTGAACGTGAACTTGCCGTCAAAGATGGGGTTGAAGCCGTTTTCCTGAATGATCTGGGTTCTGTACTTGAGAGGCGAATCCGAGACCGACGCCATGGTGGGGTCCACCTCCATCTTGTCCCTCTTGTCGTTGGGGTGGAAT